ACTGTTGACTAAATAAAGAATCCACAATATTTCTAAATAATTTAGGTCGAAATGGTTAGCTGTTAAATTACGACCAAATTGTTTGGAAGCATCGTGTTCTTCACGTTTAAAATTCCTGGATTTTATCCTTTTTGAGTTTGTGCTAGACGTAGGCTTATGAGAAGCTCCAGAATAGGATGGAACAATTGTTAGTTACTATTTGGTCTTTGAAGAATGCTGGTCGGCGGCCTATGCTCCATTGTGAGTTACAGTCGTAAGTAAGTGATTCAGTCTTTGAAAACTTTTGGATGGTGTCGTTATAATATACAACTCAGATTAAAAATAATTTCTAAATTTCATCATGGTTGCCTGCCTTACTGCTTATCATTTTGTTTGTTAAATTTACGACACTACTTTTTTAATATTCAGTAGCTTATATTTTATCCAGTCATCTTTAGGTCTCGAATTGGACAAAACATGTTTTTATAACAATGAACTGCTATTCTGTTATATTTGTACTTTTATTTCATTGTTTCAGTTTGTTGTTTTCTAATTATATTAGTATTTTTCATCGCATTTAGTCTTCATGATACATTCTTTGCTATGAACATATCACCTATGTTCAAAGTCGAGCGCTTGGTCTCTGATTTAAGCATAATTTTTACAGACCTTTCCGTATTCATGTAGTTAAAAGACATAATTTCTATATGATGTATCCTACTGTGTAACTGACTCTAGGAATTTCACATGAAACCCCCTTGTTGTATTAGAATTCTTAAGAAAATCTTATGGTATAAACGGTAGTAGTGATTAAATATGATTGACTTAAATGAACGTCTTTTTGTATGTGTATGACAAAGGTATTTCCAACTAGTTGGGGAGACCTGAAAAATTCCTGTAAAAAAGTATAATTGAGCCCTGAAAAGTCTAAAAATTATTTTATCGAGTTTCGCAGAAACATCTAGAAAGTAAAGAGTCACGTGTCACATTTCTGATTCGATGATTACCTATCTTTAGAAGGGTTCAATAACTCTTTAAGTTAGTTTAAACCACGGATTTAAATGAAATAAAAACCAGTGAAAACATAAGTAAACTCTGGATTGCTGTTAACTGATTGAAAGTAGTCGACAAGAACCCCTATTCATATTTATTGATACGCATCAATAAGGCGTACTTAAAATCTTGAGAAAACTAGTGATTTCTGTAGGACTTCAACTAGTATTATGCAGTTTCGTCGTCTGAGGCGTTATGAATGGGTTTTTTGGGGTGTGACTGACCTGCTCTAATGGTAAGATACTTACACTGATTATTGAGTATTGAACACTGTTTATCTAGTCCATTTTATATAGATTGAATTTTATCCCTAATTTAAAATATAGACACTAATCTAATTGACTCGATACAGAGTGCGCTATGTTGAGAATTTAGATGATAGGAAACAACGGTCAGAAAACTCTAAACTTCTGTTTTTTTCTCAGCACTGCACACCTATAACTGTGATAGGAATCAAATCTCTAACGTTAGGTTTTATGATGAGAGTTAATGTTATCGGTATATGTTTGTGCACTAATGGTGACGAAAAGGACTTATGGTATTTCTTATCTCCTTTCCAAAATGAATTTTAACTTATATCAATATCCATAATGAAAATCGTGGCTAAATTGTTGTAATCATGACCAAGATTATTGGATATTTGTATTTAGGTGGTTTTCATTTTTTTCTAATTTAACTTAATTCTACTTAGTAATAGTAAGTAACATGAAATAAACAATAAAAAGATTGAACGAGAAATAACCAAATTACAGGAAAGTAATTTGTATAAATGGTCCACCAGGGTTCTTGGTACCTGTGTGGTTGCGCCACAGGATTGAGCTGTACTATTCAGATTGTAGCGTTAAAGCCTGTACGGTGTCTGGTTTTCCTGCTAAACGGGGTTGGGTTTTTACGTGAAGGTCCGGATGGTGTCTGGTTCTCCTGAAAACCAATGTAAAATTACCCTGGCCGACAAGGGTATATTATATTACTATGAATTTGTATGAAGGAATTCTTCAAGCTGTAAACATCAAAAATCCCCCCCCAAATTTATAGTATCGCTTTTTTTTAGACAGAGAACACTCCATCGGTAAGGCTGTATGTAGTTTATCCTACTCAAAATTATTTGTATTACATCTTTTGTATACTCCTTTTTAGTAAGGCTTTACAATTATGACGAGATTTGAGTGTTTGACTGAATCAGCATATAGTATTTTGAGATTAAACACCTTTATAATGTTTTCTTTAAACAAAGGGCTAGTTTTCGCATTACAAATTAATCAATGATCAACAGCGTCATCATAACACTTGGAAATGTGTATTACCGAATACTACTTTAATGGACTAAAGGTAAAATGCTTGCTGTAATAAATTAAAGGTTGTCGGTCTGTTACGTCCTTGATCTGTCTACTCAATAATATACAAAAGAGAACTTGTCTCGATCTAGGTATAAAGCCTTGATACGATAGGTTAACTGGTTCAACCATGAGACTAGAATTGCATGAGTCCAAATGGAGACTAATGGCCTTGAACAGAGGGATGTAAACTACTGGTTTACAAAAAGAAGAGAGAGAGAGAGAAGACCAGTCAACTGGAACACTAGTGGATTTATTTCTGATTCCTGATTCTGATTAATGTAAGAAAATATATCAATGAATAGATAACTAATACGACCACAAGGTACAAACGATTAGAAAAATATAATTGTGTCCAAGCTAAACATTGTGATAGGAAAATGAGAAAGAAAACAATACGTTTAAATTACAAAAACTTTAGAATAGAAAAAGGTGTAACAGTAAATTTTGTGTTAATTGAAAGATTACAATTTATTTGAAATCACCAGGAACAAAACTAAATGTTAATATTTTACAAGCTTTGAGTAAAGTGAAATAATGTTCCCAAGAATAGCTTCCGTTGTTTGTAATGGCTTCTTTATTTTTATGTTCACATCTGCGATCAATCTCGTTTTAGGGGTTGTGGGTACTGATATGGCTTGTGACTATGAGATTCTCTTGGAAATACACACTGGTTTGTCTATAAATTATGTTCTCGCCGATTTTTGTTTAGTGGTTTAGAGGTTTAGCGTTTATGCACATGACTGAAATTCCTGGAATGGGTCCCCTGTGGTGTGATTGTGGATGCACACTGTTGAAAAGTTCAATACTAGGATGAGACAACTGTTCAGTACCTCCAGCTTTTCGATGATTGTCTAAGTTAGATCAGTTCGTAACCTTAATAGTATTGGTAAGTTTTATTGAGTATTCAACAAGATACATGGTGTTCATTATCATGTTATGAATCTGAAGCAAAAATCCAAGTTGAGCATTCTACCGACGTCTTCTAGCCATCTAGCATTGCAACACAGTGAACACAATGCCAAGTTATCATGACTTATTAATGATCACATTATATATTTGATAGATATAATTCGATCAATATTAAAGACTAAAAAAAACTGTACATTGGTCACTTCTCGATGATCAATTAGATCAAGGTATAGTGTATTTCTCATTAGTTAAATCTATTTGAACTATGAGTGAGCGGGAAAATGAGCTTAAATACATTATTTCACGACGTGTCTGGTTATATGAACTAGAATAGTGATCCTATTGAACTTTAATTATTCATATGAAGCCTAAAGACCAATTCAGTATATTATTGTTAGTCAAGGTTTATATACTTATGTGGTGAACAAGGATATGAGTGGGGACAATTGAATGTGTTTGACCACAAACTTACAGAGCATCTCACTAAAATCTGAGAACCATACAGTAAATAGTAAATTTGCAAAATACCAATCCATCGTTTCAAACTTGACTGTTCCATTTGTAAATATAAGTCCATTGTCTCAGATTTCATTATTCATGCATTTTCATGCCAATTACGTTTCATTTTCGTTCTTCTCAAACTTCTACTGAAATACATTCTATGCCTGAACACAATTACATACTACTTATTTGGACATAAGTAACTCACACCACACTTAGTCATAATCTGTATTATATACTCTAGAAATAATTATATTACTTAACTGTTTTCTAAATTAAAAATAAGCGTTACAGGGTCCCAAATCTGTGACTTAGTTGTTTTTAGTGAATAAACTATCGGTTACTAAGATAATATTTTCAGGTCATTCAGTCAGGTATCACATTGGATTAAAATGATCAATATTCATTCAATATTAATCTTAATCCAACGTTACATAGTCTTTTATACTAATCAATAATATTTATCCTATTGACTATATCCAATATTAAGCACCTAATATAAACTATATATGCAAAGTGTTGTAACGGGTGACTGCAGGTTAGGTGGAGCAGCGTTTTATTGATCGGTTACAGTGACACGTAAACACGTAATGAACGACCTAGTATCCTGATTGGCCCTGCTTCGCTGTCTAACTCAGCCAGTTGAGTCCAGAACGAAAGTCACAGCCTCTGAGATATGAATCATTATATTTCAAACACATTCTGTTTATATACTAACCAAGCAGACCACATTGTACCATAAAAATAGAAAACAACATTTACACAATATTAAACAAGTGAAGTAAATATCGACCAATAGGGAATGTACATTTAGCGTCCAAGGTCAACATTAGACTTAACATGATAACTATTGGTATATTTTTCTGCACATCCTAACGCAAAGTGTATAGATTATTCAATAGTTTGATAAAATTATTTAATGCATATATAACTTATTCATTTTATTAATGGATTAATCTATAAATCTTCATGCCAAACCTTTTTACTTTAACCCTCCCCCCTTTTAGATTAAATGTATGCATGTTAATAAGATGATTACTATTCATAGAAAGCCTATATTTGTTGTTGTTGTTATTATTGTTGCTATGACCTCATAAGATATTGTTCAAATCATTGTACCTAATTTGTATTGGTCTATTTCGTAGTAATGATGGCTATTGTAAATAATAAATGATTCGTTAATATATTGAATTTGTCAATTTTTTGTAGAAGTGGCGGATTTTTTTTGTTCGTCTAAGTGATGTTGTGGAATAAATGGATTCTACGTTGTTTAATTATATTCAATACATTTTACTGGGTAATTAATGTTTTGTTGAGCTTGTGACCCGATATAAGTTACATTACCATTGGAAATCTGAGAGCGCTGGGCAGCCATTTTATTCTAATATGGGGCTCCCCCAGTGGAGACTACCCACGATCCCTCAAACAGGATTCGAATCCAAGATCTTCGGTCTGGCGCGCATTGAACCAGCATCCAATGATGTCAATGTCTAACTTCACTCAATCCACGAGATCATGCAACCATTTTCCACTGTCTTCGGGGAGTAAATGCCTTACACCCGATACGGATTACCTTACTGGTTATGGCTTCTTATACGTACTGATTAAAATAAGAGGATTATTTAAAATGACTAGTTAAAATACCAAAACTATTAATAAATGATGAACCAGTTTTAATACACAATTACTATTTTAGATTACAGGATGTATTACTTTAAGTGTTGGAATTTATGAAATCACTTATAGTGATTATCATTTTCTTCGAGGAAAATATGATTTAGGATTATTTACGGGTGAGTTCTCTGTGTATATGTTTGTTTGTTTGTATGTAGTGGATGTTTTTATAGCGATTATATTTTGTATTTTCATCATCACGATCTGGAAGTTTGAAGCTTGTATTCAAAAAGATCGTGCTTGGTTATTGCTGGTGTCATGAACTTAAAAGAAAACGCTGGTCCACCAGGGTGCTTAGTACCTGTGTGGTTGCGCCACAGGATTGAGCTGTACTATTCAGATTGTAGCGTTAAAGCCTGTACGGTGTCTGGTTCCCCTGCTAAACGGGGTCGAGCTGTACCGTTTGGGTTTTTACGTGAAAGTCCGGTTGGTGTCTGGTTCTCCTAAAAACCAATGTAAAATTACCCTGGCCCACAAGGGTATATTATAACTGTAAGTCACGGAGTTTATACTAGTTTACTAATTGACGTCATCTAATAGACTGATTAATAGGTAGTTAGATGATTGAAGGTAATCGATGAGAACTTATTCCTGACCCAAACATCATGTTAATTAACATTCGTCCACAAGGAATACCTGTAATCTTACGGGGAATGATACATCCTATGGGATTCTAACCCACATCATTCAGCTAAACAGACACTATCGTTTAACGATTTGGATCAAAACTGATATTCTACAGGACTGAAATAATTTTACTGGTTAATTACCAAACAATCATTTTGTGTTTATCAATTCCTCTAGTGCTGATTGAGTTCTCTAAATTGAGTTTCAATGAAGTCAATAGTTTGAGTGACTGTTGGGGATGTTAGATCCCCAAAACTCACTTGGTAAATACCTTTCTTTATAATTTTATTTTGAAAATTTGAGTTTCTTTGTTTTCAAGCCAAAAACTATCTTTTCACCTTCATATCGTATTTTCCACTTGAGAGAATCTTAAACGCTATTGGCTCGTTGTATCTTTTGGTATACTATTTTGTAACGCTTCCCAAGGACAATTTTATGTTGTATATATACGTTTGATTTGTCCCTGTTGTTATTGCTCGTGCTTCTCTGATTGCTTGCAGAATATATTTCCTCATTCGAACCTGAACTTCTCACTTTAGTTAGCGGGGCTGGGATGTATCAGAATAGCTAGCTTATTGGTCTTTGGTGACAGAGTCTTTGTTCCATTCACAGACTTGGTGAACAGACTCGTAATCACTTCAAATATAGCAATGATCCAACATACCAATGTAGTATTTTGAAATTAACTGAATTTGTTCAGTATTAAATGGACTAGTAAAAAAACGACATTGGTAATTACACATTCATCAATCAATTAGATAAGTCGATATCTTTTAACAATGAAATTACTTGGATAATTTACATTAACATTTGAACAATTTGTGATTACATATTTTTTTTTAATTTTCTTCTCATATTAATCTATGATTACAAAATGTTACCTAATTTCTAAAATAGTTTAGTAATGATCAATGATATTCTTTGCTTTAAACTAGGATCTTATATGATATGTTCATGTGGGATATTTATCCTAATATCTAGTCCATTTGGTTGGGCTGGAATCCTGTCAAGATCAAGAGGTATATCAATATCAGTAAGTTGAATCATTACATTCGATCCAATTATTTTGTTACTAATAATAGTAATATTAATATTTCAATGTAATCACTTGGAATATGAAGTATCTTTATTGCTTATTATTATTAGTAGTAGTACTATTATTAGCGGCTTTACTCATTATTATATTTTTGGTACAATATAGAATTCTCAGCACAAAGTATTTCAACAAGTTTCCTTTTCTTATTTCTTCATCGATCCTTGCAATAAATATTAAGTGGTCGCCAGTTAGATGTTAGTAGTTAAGGACTCGACATCTGAATGATCTATGTTCTTTTTGATGCATATAACCACGATGTCTCTGATTGCACTCTTTTGTAACTTGTACTATGAAATATTGTAAACTTTTCACGAACGCCACTGAATAGGTTATGTGACTATAAGGCATAATGATGTGTTAAAACAAACAAGAAAACATATAACTTGTTGAAATAACCGGATGGCAGAAATAGGTAGTCTAGATATTCAAACAAGCCACCTCGATCGATTTTACATTATGATAAACATAGTCTGTTCAGCATGTATATGAACTGTGTTTATAAGAAAAAATTACTTCGTAAATGTTAGATTACATCAATCATGTATTTAACTTAATGTCATTTCCGTTATTTTAAACATAACTAAATGTTACTAATTTCTTCTATACACATAAATTGGGGTTATATGTACGAATTCCTATGGCTTCAGCAATATGTAGGAGGCGGGAACGAACTCCGTCTGGAAATGATGGAGGTATACGATAGATCATTCGAAATGATTTCGATTCATCTACAGCATGACCGATATCAATGAGATGTACCAAGATAGAACTGTGAATTGTTTTTATCTGACTCTTTATAAACCAAGCTGGTAGATGTTCACTTATTCGTCGGTTAAGTTGCCTGGTAGTACGCCCGATATAGCTATCTCCACAGGAGCAACTGAATTTGTAAATGCACACTGTAGAGGTTAACTCAGGGGCCAGGTAAAAACAATTTGCAATTCTATCTTGGCACATCTCATTGTTACCTGGATATTATTAAAAGACAACTTGTTCAATTATTTCATCATTTAGTGTTTTATTATCTTCAGATTAATCCATTATTACTTTTATGAATATTTTTTATTGATTTAAGCTTTTAATGGGATTTTTCAAGTCAGTGAAGCTTTTAGTACATTTAAGGTTTTGGGTTTAGTGTTGATAACTTCTAGATGATGTTCGTGTACAATTTTTGTAAATTCAAATATGTTATTAGAATTGTGGGTACGGATGGGTTTTTTTCCCGCAAATTTACTTCCGTGATAGTTATCTGGATAGTAAGTCAGTGCTTAAAAACTTAATTAGTCAGTCAGCTACAACATAAGACCAGGCATATATATATATATCAGTCAGTCAGTCAGTAACAACATAGAACTTCGTACGTGCGTACATCAGTTCGAGTTGCTACACCACCTTAACACAGCGATGCAGTTGTCGATCCAAATCCCGTAGTGGTAGAGGTAGCAAGAGTGTAAGCAGTGACCGGGAAGATTAGGGTTTCGAGATGTTATTTAAAGAGTATAATTGAGTGAAATAAATTTGGAAAGAGGAAAAAAGGGACATGAAGAATTCAGAAGATTAGAATTTGGGAGAACACAAAGAGTGGATGCACCTGCGCCATTGCAAACGATATTGAGCTATGTCATTCAGGGTCTCTAACCATCGGTTGCTATCATCTCGCGGTCCCCAACCAGGTAGTCTACACCTACCAACATGACTCAGACCACTTGTCAGTGACTTCATGGACTTGTGCCATGTTTTGGTCTGGCCGCCCCTAGCTTTCTTCCAACCTACTTCTATACCACTGAACATCGCACGTCGAGGCGGTCGGTCGTTGAGCATAAGTAACACGTGTCCCAGTCATCTCAGCTGATGAAGTTTCACTACTTCATCAATTGACTTGCCATCCTTACCTAGTACCCGTTTCCTAACAACTGCATTACTTACTCGATGGTCCCAGGATATACGAGCAATATTTCGAAGACACTTATGATCAAATACTAGTAACCTACGGATATCCTCTACTCTTACCGGCCATGTTTCACTGCCATAAATTAGGACGGAACGAACTGCTGCACAGTAAACCCGTCCTTTGGTTGATAGACGGATATCTCGCCTACGCCATAAATGACGCAAGTTGGTAAAAGCTAGTCGATCCTTCCGTATCCGTGCTGAGATTTCGTCACACACCAGACCACAAGGGCTGATGAGACTTCCAAGATAAGTGAAGCGGTCGACACACTCAACTACTTCACTCCTTATCAATATATATATATATATATATATATATATATATATATATATATATATATATATATATATATATATATATATATATATATATATATATATATATATATATATATATATATATGCATCGGTTCGATTTACCGCATCTGATTAGCACAACAAGATGAACACCGAATTCATAGTAGTAGTTACTTCAATGATGAGTAATATATAAAAGAAGGATTGCATTGCACGGAAAGCATCAGAGATCATAAGTACTTTCGGATTTCTCATCATCTTATAATGAAAATGTGAAATTGTGATCATGGATGCATCTGGACACATATTTTATATTTTAATCAAATAGAATAAGTAGTGTATGTAGATAGAAATCGGATAAGTGTCGTTAAAGCACTTATTTTATCAATTTGTAGCTACACAGAATCACTACAGAATTTATTGTAAGATTATGGACAAATTTTCTCAGATCATGAATCTTGAAAATGAACACAGAGATATGAGATTATTTTTGAAAGTCTTCAATTTATTTAGTTAATACGTGTAAGAACGCATGACTGGTCTCAACCACTGATTGTGCCAGTCTATCACTATGGGATTTGAATCGACAATTGCATCTCTGCTAATTTGGTGTGGCAAATCGAACTGATGTACATACGTACGAAGTTCTACGTTGTTACTGACTGACTGACTGTAAGAACGCAACATGACCTCTCAGAAAGAGTGATATTTTTCTAAACTGTAAAAGTACCGGACTGATGAAGTTTAACTAGTATGAGAATTATGTGTAAAGTTTCTCTAGTAATCTAAATTCAGACAGAATTACGTAGTAACTTTGATACAATTTGACCAATGTGCACATTGCATTTTGATAAATAGAATTCCATTAGAACTAAAGATTAGGCAAGCATGACACTGATTAGTACACAAAGGCTGATCAGTTATAAATATCTCGTTCTTGCAGAGGGTTAGAGATGATGTCTCAAAATGTGAAGCTAGGTAATACGGACTGTCTCAAATTATCAGTAAGCTTTGCTGATAAGAAAACTAGATTGAACAGGGTTTCCTGTTCCAACCACTTCAATCCAGCTACAAGATTTACACAAAATGATCAGGTAATGTAAGCTAAATTATAAAAAGTAAATCTTGATTATCAATGTTAAACAAGGTCTACTAACGAACTCAAAACAACTGTAAACCAATATCAAAGTGAGAATCTTCAATACGAACGTCAAGGCAGTTCTACTGTATGGAGCTGAAACTTGGAGAACTACAACAACCACAATCAAAAAAGTACAAGTATTTATAAATAGCTGTCTACGCAAGATACTCAACATCCATTGGTCGGATACCATCAGCAACAGTTTTCTCTGGGAGAGAACAAACCAACTTCTAGCTGAAGAAGAAATTAGGAAAAGACGATGGAATTGGATAGGACATACATTACACAAATCATCAAACTGCATCACGAGACAAGCCCTAACTTGGAATCCTGAAGGGAAGCGAAAAAGAGGAAGGCCAAAGAACACATTACGTCGGATAATAGAAGCAGATATGAAAACGATGAATTACAACTGGACGGAGCTAGAAAAGGATTGCCCAGGACAGGATTGGATGGAGAATGCTGGTGAGCGGCCTATGCTCCTTCACGAGGAGTAACAGGCATAAGTAAGTAAGTAAAGCGTAAAGAAATCTATCTTGAAGAAAGTTGATTATAAAAATGATAATTATATTTTAATTTGCCACATTCACCAATACCGACTATCTATCTCTACTTCTCTTTCTTTCATACAAATCAATGATTGATACACTAAATTATTGAGCATTTTTCCTGTTATTAATATCCAAAATTTTAATTTTTACCAGTCTCTGTTGAGGTATAATCTTTTAACAAATATATTTCTATCTTTTTCATTATAAGTTTTGTATTATTCTGGTACTGAATGGTATTTGTCTACTTAGTTGTGGAATATGGTCATCAAAATATTCTGAAAATGTAAGTTCATTTTAATATTATTTAAATTTAATAATATAGTTACATGATTACAGTTAATTTTTGATTGATTAAATAATCAAAAGGGGTTTGTGGAGATTTTAGAAATTTCACAGATTGAAATCATGAGTCAATTGAAGCTAGACCACCATTGAAAACCTGGAAGCACTGGACGGTCGTTTCGTCCTAGTATGGGACTCCTCAGCAGTGCGCAGTCTCCACAAAACCTCTTCTGATAATAATCATCTGCTCACTAGTAACTGACTTCAAGAGATACTCCTGAAGTTCTAGTGAGAAGCCGTTACCAGTGGAGTTCAACCAAGTCTGTTGTGAAATATCAGCTCACTCAAGACATTGGTATACGGTGGCGCAATTTAGTAGATTGGTTGAAGTTAGACATTAACACCTTTGGATGTCGACTCAGTGGTCGAGTTGGTTAAACGCCTGGCGCGAGACTGATAGGTCCTGGGTTCGAACCTCGCGGGGTGCGGGATCGTGGATGCGCACTGCTGAGGAGTCCCATCCTAGGATGAAACGGCCGTTCAGTGCTTCCAGATTTTCCATAGTGGTCTAGCTTCAAATGACTCATGATTTCAATCTGATTAAATAATGTATGGAAAATAACTGTTTTAGTGACCTTATATCTGACTCCAGTTTGATCGTTTCTAATTCCTATTGGGATATACATATCCCCAATCCTAGTATATAATTATCAACTTAACTCGCATTAGTGAATAACGGAATTAAATAAATCAAATAAGAGAATGGATTTTTGAATATATATATTTCGTACAATTGTTGATCGAGAGAAATGACCAAAGAAAGCTAAAGGAAAAGAGCCAAACGAAATGACGCACAGTGGAGGTGTGTAAGCCAACTCGATTTAATCAAGCGTTAATCACCATTTATAATCACACAAAAATAAGTTACTGATATGTGATGAATAAGATAAGAAGTGTACACACATATGCTCATATAAAAACAGTTAAGGTTGATAAGTGAATAATGAACAAGCTTAAAACGTGACTAAAGAAGAATGAATAAATTAGACTGTCCAAAAGCTAGAATAAGCTATATGGGCTTAGCATAGTAACTGACACTACATTGTATGAATGATAATTCAGAATATTATTTTTGTAACAAAATTGCACAAACAACCGTTAGATTATACAGTTCTCAACATAAGTCAGGTAAGTGTATGTTATAAAGATTAACTTAAAAGTAATTTTGGACAAATTTTAATTCATTGTTGACTAAATGATAAAATAATTATGGCGAGACTACAATTTATAAATGACCTTTGAACGAATCTTATGTGACCTCTAGATCCATGATAAGGTCACAAAAACTCTTTCTGCTTCGACCACATAATTTCAGCATTGTTTGTATTCATTCCGGTTGTGTAAACTTGTCATTTTTTAATTATGCATGTATCACTACAATACTCATACCATTTAACAACCAAAGCTTCAGTAAAATCTGCAAATGTTACAGCCAATGTTACTGGTACTTTTATGATACAGTTCGTAACAATTACTATAATTTGCTTTAGTCTCAATTTGGATCGTGCGGAAAAAAGTTCTTTTTCTAGCAGATTTCTTCCTCCAACATATATTACATCGAAAGACAACAAAATCATCAGGGTAGTCTGCAAAAAGCCCATTAGTCGTTCGATTACCACAATCACAACGAAAGTAACTTCTTAATAGTTTCATTTGTTATAGCCGCTCAATTATTATGTTTTCTCTAAAATTCCTCTGTGAACCGATTGTACGTGAACATCAGGTACTAAAATTGGCGCTGTGACCTCGAAATCCCTCAAGCACTTCTGATTAACTCGTCTATAAATTGTAATCTCGCCATAATTATAAAAAATACCTAAAAACATTTTTGAAAATCTTTACATAATATAAGTAAATTTACTGAAGTTTTCTATGGGTTTTGCTAATTGCAAACAAACAAAAAAACAATGATATATAAATTTAGTCAAATGGATATAACAGGTTGAAATCATGAGTCAAGAGAAGTTAGACCACCAATGAAAACCTGGAAGCACTGGACAGCCGTTTCGTCCTAGTATGAGACTCCTCAGCAGTGCGCGTCCACGATCCCAACCCCCGTGGTCTAGCTTCAATTGACTTATGATTTCAACCTGTGAAATTGCCTAAAATCTCCACAAAACTCGTTCTGATAAAAGATAAGAGTATTGATAATGTGAAATAAACAAACATTCTGTAACGAAATATAATTTACATAAATATTTTTACAGTCCGTTTTATTTTGTACTTCAATATGCTTGACATTATTGTTTGTTTTTACAGTAAGAATTGACCTAACATTAAATGATGCATACACTACAAATTTATGTATATTAATCCAACAACATGTTGAAAGATAACAAATAAGTAACCACTTGATGTTTTTTTACTTGTATCATCCCAATGTTATTTAGGTCTGTAACTGATCAGTCTCTTGTTGGCATATGTGTATCCTGTGCGGACTGCCTCGATATTGCCTGAAGTCACAAACATTCTGATCAAAAAATGGATAGTGGCTAGCAGCGGAATCCAGGACGCACGTTTCGTCCCATCTTGGACTCGTCGGCTGCATGTGCCTGCATCTCAGATATGTTCACTCTGGGAGTCGAACCCAGTACCGTCCGCTCCAAACGCCATCGCGTTATTCACTTAGCAACTGAGTCGTGATAACCACCTGTCTGTGCAATGGGGTGAATTTATATTCACTTCGTGTTGTTGACTTATATCTTCTCATTGTTATTTAGGACTTCAATTGATCAGTCTCTTGTTGGTATATATGCATCCTGTGCGGACTACCTCAATACTGTCTAAAGTCACGAAACGTATGTCCTAGATTCCACCGCTAGCGATTATCCATCTTTACTTAAATACGTAACCAATTTATAAAATATTATTCAATTAACAAGAATAAAGTTGAACTTGTTTATAAAACAATTTTTAGATTAATTCAATATTGTAACATTGATCTTTATCAACATTCATTTAGATACACTTTGAATTAAATGAAATGTTTGATAATTTACTAAAAAATTATGATGAGAAACGTTTAATGGTAAATGATGAAACTAAATTACTCAATTACATTCAATATAAAGTGAGTAATATGAATATAAATTTTCTTTTTTAAAATATTAAAACAACTGGAAAATCATCAAATATTGTAGAATATCGATATCCTGGGTTCTGGCAGGCGACTGGCTTTCAGAATATCGATACATGTATACCATAATTCTCATTTCGATTCTAGCTCTAGCTATTTTGGTAAAGGATGAATTAGATAGAATGGGGGGTATGAATATATGTACGGTGACTTTGAAAGCAGGACAGGAAATCAGTTTAGTAAAAAGAGTAACTACCCAATAAAAAAGAAGAAATCATTTAGTCGCAGTAAATATGAGGATTGGTTCCTTTAAGTAAAAAGTCGAAACAGAAAAAAATGTACATAGTTAAAGTAACAAAATAAACTAGTAAATAAGTGATTTACTAGAGACTTAAGATTAATAACAACTGGATAGATGATTCATCCTTAATGATCCACAATCCTCACTCCTTAGGGAATCAAATACACGACCCTCAGATCTTGAACTAAATACACAACACTCTTAGTATACTAAGTTGTAATCTGTTATTTTAAAGTACCAACGTTAGTTAGATTCCAAGCAGTACCATCTTCATTCACTGTTTTCTGTAAGTACTCATCTAAATGACAACTTTGTTGAATTCACAGATCCATAACTTTCTACAAAGACTTCATGAAATATATTTCAAAGACAATCATTACTAAGCTCATAAGTATCATCCAGCGTAGTGACTTCAACGTGTTTATTTTTCAAATATAAGTACAGTTTTCATTACATTGTATGTTATTTTATTTTAACACATAGATATTGGTACAAGGAGGCACCAAATACATATGCGCCACTTAAATCTCATTCGATAGGTGTGGAGGCTGTGATACTGCCCGGGTGCCCAAACCAAAGCAGGTGGTTTTCTTAGGGGACCACACCTCACATTGTATGTAAACACTGCTGAAAATTTCAAACTTAAGATGAAACAGTTGTCTAATCCTTCCAGAGTTTTTTTTTGTTCTTAGTAAAGGGTGTTTTTAGAATTTATCAGGAAAAAAAGTTTTCTTGTAAGACCTATCATCTACCTAAAGGAGCGTTTGTCTAAGTTACTCACTAGTTTAAAAAATCCTCTTCATAATCAGATGTTTCAAATGATATACGACCGAAAAGTATGAAACATTAATACAGTGCATTTAATATTTGCTTGTCTATGGAAACAAACAGGAAGTTTCAAAAACAAAACTATTAGAGTGGTAAAAGTCTAAGTTACATTTATGTCGTTAGTGATATATCACTAAGAGTGATTTGAAAAAAAAACACTAACTGGTTAATGAGTTATGAAAAAAGCCACTGGTGTCTAGTCTTTAGTTCTAATCAAACTGTATCATTCAACTTGTCGAGTAGCCATTAATAAAGGGTAACACCTTTCACTGAAATGTTGAGTTATGTAGCTTTGATCCACATGAAAACGACCAGTTCTACCCGAGATAATGAACGTTGAAAAATACAAAACCTAGTTTTCAAGGTATCTTACTGTCAAAATAGAAATCTAAAGTAAACAAATTAATTTACCAATACTATCTACACATCTTTCATATTTTGTATTATCTTTCGAATAAATTATGAATGTTTTATTATGCAGCATTGTATTTCCTTTTACATGAATTGAAAAACTTAAAATGCTTCTTAACTCAATGATTAGTGAATTCACTTTTAATGTTCATCATTGAGATGCTTATGTAACCCAATACATATTTAACTCAATAATCTTTTGCATGCTAAATTAAGTTCTCAATTGTAAAATTCAAAAAGGAATATTTATTACACAATCTAACATTTGATGGTGACCAGAAGAGAAGTCTATCTGGCTTGAAATATTAAAACCAAGGGAAGTACACAAAGGTAATGCTATCTATCAAATTTAGTTAGTGGCTAGAAGCAGAATCTAAGACGAGCATTTCATTGTGTTCGTGACTCGTTAACCAGATGTACTTGTCATATCCCAATGTTAATGTTTACTCCAACGCTCAAATCAATTGTCTTTGCTTACAAAACTTAGCTTGTTATTCACTGACCTGCTGCGTCCGAATAGCTATTAGCTTAATGTAATGGGTATGAATTGCTATTTCTTTTCTCTAAGAATACAATACTTTAAAATCACCATTCTGATAGTAACAATAATTATCCTTTTGTAGTTTGATTGCTGTGGTAAATTAAATATTGAAGATTTGTTAGATCGTAAACCAATTATTGCATGTGGAATGAAACCAATTGAAAAGAAGGTATGTTCAATGTTTTAGGATTATTATTGTTATTAACAGTGTAATTAATAATTCATTCAATTAGGGATGTTTAACGAAAGTTATTGGCACGACAAAATCAGGTCAATTTCGTATTGCATTTGTTAGCATCTGTATAGCAATGTGGCAGGTTAGTAAATAACTAAATATTAAGTAGTGTATTTATTATTATTACATTTTTTATTAAATATCAATCAGCAAATATATATATCACGGGTTTACCTTAGTTAGACAAACACTGGAAACCAGAAAGAGCTGGACAACTGTACAGTCCAAGTATGGGACTCTTTAGTAATGACTAACCATGATCCTATCGGAGATAGAATCTAGGATCCTCGAACTCAAGGTGAAAATTTTATCTTTAGACCATTGATCTGGCATCCAATGATTTACACATTTAATTTCAACCAATCCGCTGCACTGCGCAATCATCTTCGAATCACACTAGTGATTAACTGGACTCGGCATGACAGAGCTCCCTTAACTAAACGTATAAAGTATTAAATACCTGCTTCTTGGACCACAGGTTAAGCATTGGCAGTGAAACTAGAGGTCCTGAATTCGATCACTGGCGAGGCCATGTATGTGCACTGCTGGGTGATCTCATCATATTAGGAAGGAAAGGCATTCCAATGCTTTCTGGTTCTCAGTAGTTGCTTAATTAGGATCAGTTCGTTATGTCAACTTTAAAATTCACTAATGTTCACGATCCCCGTAGATTATTAAAGTCATTGTTTTCTTCCTCGTGAAGTCATAACGATTGTGCTTGGCTCACTCAAATTTTTGGTATGGATGTTTTGTAACTATACAGGTTTTCGAGGAATTCTCATATTCTAAACTTATTTTAAAAAAAGTCGATCATACATTTAGGGTAAAAACAAATGTATTCGTGAGCTTTTGCAGTTAATCGATAACCTAATGTGATATTAAACACTATAAGATATTTTCAAAGTTGAATTCACTAGTCGATCTAAGCTAGATCATTATTGAAAACTTGGAAGCACTGGACGGCCGTTTAATCCTTTATGTGAAGCCATGGAGCGCACTACTGAGGAGTCTCATACTAGGACAGAAGGATTGTTCAGTGTTTCAATATTTCCAATAGTGATCTAGATTAGATCGACTGGTGAAATGAACTTTGAAAATACCACAATCTCCAAAAATCCCCATACTGACTATAAGATATCATAATAGTTTGGATATTTTTCTTCTTGCATATATTTCGGATAGATGACATCAGATTACACTAGAATACATGTATATTACATCATGTGAAAAAGGTTGGAAATGTATTGCATTCAAATTTGATTAACAGTTAAACACAGTTGAAACATATTTTACTATATTTTCGGGATTATTATTTAATTTTAACACATAGATATTAGTATAAGGAGGCACCAAATACATATGCGCCACATAGACCTCATTTGATATGTGTGAGGGCTGTGATACTGCCCGGGTGCCCAGACCGAAGCAGGTGGTTGTCTTAAATGGTCACTACCTAACTCCGTGAACTAGAGGTCTAATCCACAAGGCAGTGGAGCATCGTAAGGAGATGCAGTTACATGGTAGCCGGTGACCAACGATTGGTTCATGCGCTAATTATTCCCTCAGGATACTGGAGCCCATGTGCACCATTGGTTTGGAATCAGGGTTTACCAACTCCCTTAGGTAGACTCTCCATGTCCACCAACCCGGTTAGAGCCGGACATTCGCTTTTCGTCCCCACAATTTCGTGAACAACACCCCCGCCACGAGAAGGCAGTGAGTAGGACTTCCCTGGCAGAGGCTATATACGCGTGGCCATGTGAGAGCATTTCAAGAGGGGGAGCGGACTCTCTCCACCCTCGGCCATAAAAGGGCTTTTGTGGGATGAAATATATTCTAAGATGGGATTATATCAATATTGTAACTTTTAGCATGAGATCATTGTTTTAATTTTCTTAATTATTATTTTCATCAACTTTTGTACCTTACCTAAATTGCATATCTGTCCTCTTTTAGTTTTTCGGTATCATTATTTATTCCTTCTTCACTTGCTCAAACTGGAATCATCAAAGTCACCATCATCATCATCATCAATTTGATTATCAATATTCGAAAAAAGAGAATCCAAGGAACTTTAAATAATGATGAAAGTATAAAGTAAAATATGATAAATCATTTTCAAAAAAAAATATGATGATGGAAAGAATTTTTGAACAGAAGTATATGTTACTATAAAAATATACTGGTATCTATGCCATACAAAAATGAATTGACAATATTCAATGAGGATAATTATTTTGATTATATTAATAATCAGAGAAAAAGAAAGATGCCTTGGTTACAACTGTATTGTTCTTTTTTTTTCTTTTCCAAATGACTTGTTTAAATTAATCAATTAGATTACAAAACTTCTATGGTAAAATTTTAAAAAAAATCATAGAGAATGTTAAATGATAGTTGAGACAGAATTTTGTATTTATCATTGATAAATCTTAGTTGGTGTACTGTTTAAGATCAGTGAGCATTATATAATTGTTTGAGTATAATTAAACACTTATCATTAGTTGATATACATGACTTTTTCAGCAAAACGAATAGTTTGAAAGTAGTATTCTTCAACTTCACATAATTTCTGAAGTATCATCCAATACACTTCCTACTATCTGTTTCATTCTTGACATTGTTATACTCCAAATGTTTAGTATGCTTCAAATCATTAGTGATATTATTAGGTTAAAGGGTTTGAGAAAAGTGTGTTTTCCGGCTCAACCCATTCAAGGACTGAATAAATGTAGGGATTGACGAATTGCGTTTTGGGATTCAGTAATAAAACATGGTGTGTATTGAATGAATATTCTGTCAGTAATATTGTACGTTTCTGATTATGACATTAGGTGATGAATTTACAAGTTCCATAAATAAATTACTTCTTTCAAGTATGTAAATACATCTTAGTAATAACTGATAACGAACACAGCATCTAAGTAAGAAGTTTCCATACGATTGTCCCCACTCTCCTCACTGTAGATCGTAATAATGAATTATTTAGACTAGTTTTAATAGAAATAAAACGATGAAAATCCCTCCAAAGCATTCCATTGCACAGTATTGTCATTCATTTGTTTCTTCTTGTCTTGTATTCAACTTTTATTTAGGTCTCTTGTTAACCACACTTTATGTTCGATGCCTGGATATGCCTAATTATAACATACGTGATGTCTGGTGGTATATGCTGGAAGAACGTTGGAAGCACCCAAAGGCTATAAAGTCGTGTAGATAGGTGCAGGTCACCTGATTAGGATGTGGGGTTATCGTGACCAGTGGTTAGTGACATCATTACAAATACTACAGTAAAGCAGATTCAATAAAATAGTGATCTTATCACGTAGGTATACGGAAGTTGAATTCACAACATATATATATTCCATTGGTTAAGATCATGAGTCAATTGAAGCTAGACCACCATGGAAAACCTGGAAGCATTGGACGGCCGTTTCGTCCTATTGTATAGATGCTCACTGCTCAGGAGTCTCACAACAGGATGAAACGGTCGTTCAGTGCTTTCAGGTTTTCCATAGTGGTCTAGCTTCAATTGACTCATGATCTCAACCATTGAAATTACTGTAATATCCACAATCAATCTCAATGAAAATCAGTTAGCTAACGGAGTAAATAAACCTATATTATACTAAAATTGCCAAATAACTTTCCACTAGTTGGAGAATGTTTACAGTCGTAATCTTTTCTACTGGCATTGACAATATACATTACTATGATTTGAAAAGAAAATATTGTAGTTTTAATTATTTCCATTAGCAAAATAAAACAGATATATTAATATTACTATCATTGTCCCTTCTTTTGTAAATCAATCGTATACATAAAATAACAAATTATTCAAAAGATCGACAAATTAAAAAAAATATAGACATATTTGAGGCAAAGTAAAAAGTGTGCACACCCAGAGGAAAACTGTCTCCAACTAAAATAATAGGTAGATGTGCCAAAGAAATAATGACCAATTGAAAATGTATAATAATAATACTTAGTATTATTACATATCCATGGGTAGAAGACTTGATAATCCGCCTTGGCCACCACTGAAACCACTGGTAATGATTTTTAGCTAGATTATGAATATTTGGAAGAAGAAAAAGAAACGTTGGATGAAGGAAAACTCATTTATTGAGTTACTATGTAGTGCAACAGGAACAACACTAAAAACGATACCACTACCACTACTATTAATAATAATAATGGTCGTTAAAATTAGTCAGGATGATAGGACGCCATAAAAATTGACTTTTAAGAAGAATCCCAAATATGTAGTTTATAATATGGATTGGAGTTTGGCTATACAATTATTAAAAATCAAGATGGACTGGACATCTGATGTTTACTACCTAGTATCAAGTAATTAATCATGAAAAATCTAATCTAAAAAAGAAGGGGAAAACTTTAAATGTAAACACCTGAATTATTACTTTCTTTCACATTCTCACAACAGCTGGGAGAATTAAACTAGTGACTGTAGTGAGATTTGACGGAGAGACAGAGTGATAGAAAAAAAGGCAGAAAATTAAAATTTGAACCCTTTGGTTTTCAACCTAGTTGTTTAAAGGCTAAGAAATCATTGAGAGACTTGAATTTCATTAGTCCGATCCCTGATACGATCGTGGATGTGAAATATTGAGGTGTCTCATTTTAGGAAGAAACAATCGTCTAGTCCATCGTGTTTCTCGATGATTACCTAAGGTTACTTCATGAGGAAGATAAGAAAGTTAACAATCGCCACAAAGCATTTGTACTAAAAAAATATCATCAATAGATAATTCAGTTAGTCAACCATAACCAATGTAGGATCAACCACGGAAAAATGTATCGGTTTAAGTTGCCACAACTACATCAGTACACTAAGTTGGGAAAGTAAAAAAATGAATGATAGCCAAAAAGTCGGAGTAACTGTAGTATTTAAAGTTAAACTTAAAAAAAGACTAAACAGAGAATATAAATAGAAAAGTAGGAGCGAATTGCCATTAAAATCCAAGACCTATAGGAAGATAGAAGACAAAGGGATCTACACCACCAGGATAGATTCTGAGCTATATCACTACCACAAAACATCTGCAATCCCTGATCATGATTATTATGCCGACACAAACTAGGTGGTTTATACATCTGCTAACATGGCACAGATAAAGACTATATGGTTTTCGGTGCTTTTTTTGTGGTCTGATCTGACACAACGCAGTACTGAGCACTGAGATAAGTCACTCGTCAAGGTTACGTTGCATTTGTCTAAACCATTTCAATCGGTGAGAATTTACAGCCGTACCAGTCGAGTCGTCTTTTTTACATAGCTACCATCTAATATCTACAACATCAATATTGCTAATTTGATTTTTCCACCATACACGAGACTGATAATTTGAAGATATCAATGATCAAAGGTACTAGTAATTCAATGGTTATTGGTTGAGCCTCATTAATAAGTCAGTCAGTCATACGCAACATAGAGACTGGTACAAACATGTATTAGTTAAAATACCTATGTTACATCAACACAACATAATGAATAATAAATGAATCAAATTAATGGTAGTATCAATGACACCGGAACAGAATAAGCAATAAGCATATAGTTCAAGAAGACGAAATGAAAAGTCATGTATGATGAAATGCCGGAACTGAATATCTAAAATAAGAATGGATGCATCTGTATCACTGTGAGACATACCGAATTAAGTTACTCCAAGTCTCTAACCACTGGTTGTGGTAATTGCACAGACTTCACCCCAACCAGGTAATTTGTATATACTAACATTAGCAATCTGGGTCTTGAGATGGTGGAGAAGATTTGTAGCTAAGGTGGATGATTTTGATGGAGTTTTGTTCTCTGAGCTGGATGGTTTGGTCGTGGAGCTTTCATCGTTCTTCTGAACGACATCATCAGCACAAACTTCAAATAGAAGTGAAGTGTTAGAATTTCTCCATATGTGTTTCACAGCTTGTTCTGTGCACCTCGATGTTGATTGGTTCTTGTTGACCTTAAATTTATAATTGTTTACTTCTTTGTTTTGGTTGTGTCTTCCATTGGTTTGATTTTTGTTCCTATATTTATGCATGATTTTTCTGATTGGTTGATAAATTGGATTGATTTCAATATGTTTGTTGATTGCTGATTGACCTGAGTGCCAGGCTTCTAAAAATTCTCTGGTATTTTTGGAGTTTCCTCTGTCTAAGATTTCTACATTTTCCCAATCGAATGAGTGTCCGTAGTTATCCACGTGTATTGATATAAGTGAAGAGATATCATGGCGTTTGACTGCTAATTGATGTTCATGTAAGCGTAGATGGAGGGGGCGTCCGCTTTGCCCGATGTAGTGTTTGTCGCAGTTGGTACAATTTATTTTGTAGATGATGTTTGATTTGTTTTCCTTTGTTATTTCATCCTTTGGTTTGCATAGGATTGATTGTAGTGATTTTGTTGGTTTGTGTGCCACACCTATCCCGAAGTTTTTCAGCAGTCTCGTTGCGGTTTCTGATATTCCTTTTATGTACGATAGGGACCAACGGCACCAACGGCACACAGCATCAGAACCCAAGTCAAGCACAAAAATCAACAAAAGGATCACCCTACCGTACATAAAAGGAATATCAGAAACCGCAACGAGACTGCTGAAAAACTTCGGGATAGGTGTGGCACACAAACCAACAAAATCACTACAATCAATCCTATGCAAACCAAAGGATGAAATAACAAAGGAAAACAAATCAAACATCATCTACAAAATAAATTGTACCAACTGCGACAAACACTACATCGGGCAAAGCGGACGCCCCCTCCATCTACGCTTACATGAACATCAATTAGCAGTCAAACGCCATGATATCTCTTCACTTATATCAATACACGTGGATAACTACGGACACTCATTCGATTGGGAAAATGTAGAAATCTTAGACAGAGGAAACTCCAAAAATACCAGAGAATTTTTAGAAGCCTGGCACTCAGGTCAATCAGCAATCAACAAACATATTGAAATCAATCCAATTTATCAACCAATCAGAAAAATCATGCATAAATATAGGAACAAAAATCAAACCAATGGAAGACACAACCAAAACAAAGAAGTAAACAATTATAAATTTAAGGTCAACAAGAACCAATCAACATCGAGGTGCACAGAACAAGCTGTGAAACACATATGGAGAAATTCTAACACTTCACTTCTATTTGAAGTTTGTGCTGATGATGTCGTTCAGAAGAACGATGAAAGCTCCACGACCGAACCATCCAGCTCAGAGAACAAAACTCCACCAAAATCTGGGTCTTTTTGCAATTCCATTTATCATGATGTGTTGCTTAACAATCTATTCACAATTTTTTAATT